GTGTCCTTAGGCAAGACACTTCCCCCACATTAGAATGAGTTTGGTGTGTGTGTGAATGGTTGGTGGTGGTGGGAGGGGCACAGACTGGTTGCCTCTCTTCAGTCAGTGTGCCCCAGGGCAGCTGTGGCTACAGTAGTAGTTTATCACCACTGTGTTTGGAGAGAAAGAACAATGATGTGCAGCGTCTTTGAGCGTCTAAAGAACCAATTAATAAAAACACTATTATTGAGGAGTGTAATTACCATGTCAACACGACCCCTGCCTCACAGAGCTCCTCACGCCTCCTCCGCCCATGGTCTAACCCATGGTCTCCACCCTTGGTCTACAGTAGTTGGTAGAGCATGAAAGAAAAATGACATGTGAAGCGTCTTTGAGTGTCCAAAAAAGCGCTATATAAAACCGATGCATTATTATTATTATTATTATTATCATGGTCTCCACCCATGGTCTCTCCACTCTTGGTCTCCACCTTTGGCCTCCACCCATGGTCTCCACCCACAGTCTCCACTCATGTCTCAACCCACAGTCTCCAACCATGGTCTCCACCCATGGTGTCCACCCATGGTCTCCACCCATGGTCTCCACCCATGCTGCTCCTCCTCCTCACACAGTGAGTCCATAGCTCCATACACAGCTACATCCGGAGTCGCTGATGTAGCTGCTCTGCTCTGGGAAGTAGGACCTGTCGTTTGCAGATGCGTTTGTGGAGACTTTAATCAGAGACTTCACATTGTGCATTGGTCAAGTTGAACTGTGTGGACTCGTAAGCTGACAAGCACACATGCAGTAGAGCGGCTTCATAGTAAATCTGAAGACTTCAGTGTCATTATGTCAATATGCTAAAGCTAAAGGATGCTAAAGCTAGGTACTAGCACCACGAGTGCACCACGTCATGAGCTTTTATTAAACCTACACAGACATGGAAAGCGACACTGCAATAACCACAAACCCTATAAACGACATTAGTCGCCTCACATTGGAGCTTCGTGAGAGGGACCGTGCCACTATTGCAGACCTCCGTAAAGAAGTCCTTCGCCTCACTGCAGAGCTACAGGAAAAACAATCACTCGTGTCCAAACTTTTTGATGTTGCTGGCGGGCAGCACTCACGACTTATGTCACTGAGCGCTGCATACTGTGACACTGTCGTGTGGGAGAGGTCTGTCAGCTCTGGACCCTCCTGTTCTACACCTAAGCGCCCGGTTCCGAATGAGGAACCCGCAAACTGCGAGGAGCCATCCAGCGCCGTGGCCCATGTCCTAAGCCTGTCAAACCGCTATGCAGCCCTCTCCACTGACATCCCAGCCCCCTCAGCAGAACCTCTGGACTCTGCAGCGTACTCTGCCGTTCGTGGATCTAAGTCCACTGCGAGAAAAACGCTCCTAAAGGAAGCCGTCCTCAGACGAAAGAGTGGTCATTCCCCTTCTCTGACCCCAGTGCATCACCACCGCTTACCTCCACCGGGTCAGCAGCAGCGACCCGAGCCTGCTCCTCACGCCGCTCCAGCGTCCCCGAGCACACAGCGTGGGTTGCCCGGAGCTGAGAATCAACACCCCCGCTCCCCTCCATGTGTTCAGCAGCGCCCTGGTTCGGACTCATCCCTGGATGAGCCCGCTGGTTCCGGCCATGGACACCGAGCGCCCTCTCCGCGGCTACGTCCACTCTTCGCCCCGACTACTTTGATTGTTGGAGATTCCATCGTGAGACACGTCCGCTTTTTTAACGCGGTCACTCAGTGTTTTCCCGGAGCCACTGTTCCAGACCTGCTCATCCGTCTCCCTCCTCTGCTTCAGTCCCTGCCTGATACCATTTCAAAGGTAGTCGTGCATGTGGGGATCAACGACATGAAGCTGCAGCAGTCCGAGGTCACAAAGAAGCATTTTATGGATCTATTCCGCCTCCTCCAGTCCTCCGGGTTGTGTGTTTTTATCTCTGGTCCAGTCCCGACTGTAAACCGGGGAGACTGCTTGTACAGTCGCGTTGTGGCGCTGAATATGTGGCTCCAGTCTGCATGCAGCACTTTTAACTTTGTTTTTGTGAACAACTTTGGCCTGTTCTGGAAGCGTCACGTGGCCTATCGTCCAGACGGTCTGCACCCGAACAGATACGGTACCAGTTTATTGATGGACTTTTTACGCCATGTTGTTCAGTGCTCCCCGAGGGGGGCGTGACTGTTTACATCCGAGGCCTCTCGGCCCCCACTACCACCTTCCTCCTCCACTCCAGCACCGGGTGAGTACTGTGGTGCAAACACTCACTGTTGCCAACTCCTCAGTAAGGAAAGTAGCTATTGGCTGTCCCAAAAGTCGCTAGAAGTCGCTAAATGACGTCATCGCCTAATTTGCATAATTAGCAATTTGCAAATAACTGTAACGGACGCTGTAGGAGAGAGGAATAACGTCGTGGGAGAGACAAAAGTGAGTAAAAAAACACCCTAAATATGTTTAGAACTACAAATGTACAAAAATAATTTCAACATTAACAACATTTAATGATTTTAATGCTTTGTCTAGATCTGTCGCTAGTCGCTTTTTTGAAAAAAAAGTCGCTATAGGGTCTGAAAAGTCGCTAAATCTAGCGACAAAGTCGCTAAGTTGGCAACACTGCAAACCTTTGCAAGACCTCTGTCC